CTAAAGTACTTAGATGCTTTCAAGAAGAAAGATAATTCACTTTATATCAAGAAGAATTAAGTTCTAATATTAATAAGAAGACAATCTTGACAAACATTTATGAATACATTATATAAGAGACCATATAAGAAGTTGAACAGAATAGTTTTAATAAGAAAGCTAATAATAACTTGATTAAACTAGATGAGTACATAATCAACATGAAGAAGATGAATTAGAACTCCAAAAGATGTGTTGTGGAGATTGAAGATTCCATTAGCCACAATTCCAATATATATTAGGTATCAAGAAGCGTCTCAAGAAATTTCCATGTTGCTTGAAGATGAAGCAACCTCAGGAAGTTTTTCAAGAAGTTTCCATATTACTTAAAGATAACGCAATTCTACAAAGCTTCTCAAATAATTTTCTTAATTATCTTAGAACTTTATAGAATCTTATGGAACCTCTTAAAATTTAATAGAATATTTTTAAAATCTTCTTAAAATCTTCTTATTAGTTATTTATAATATATTTTTTTAATCTTATTAATTTTTTTATATTTTAATATTAATTTAAGATTATTTAATTATTTTGTTTTTATTAATATTTAATTTAAATTTTTTTATCTATTAAAAATATATAATTTTAGCCACAAAAAAATTATAAAAGTTTAATTTATGGTTGTTAAGTAAAAGATTGATTATTCTACTATAAATTTTGGGTAAAAAAAATGTACATACTAATAAGACCATTTTTTTTACTTCATTGTAATTGAAAAAGTAATTTTTATTTACTAAAATAATTTAAATAGCTAAGTTAATAGAAACTTTAAGATAAATTATATTTGTAGTAGTATTTTTAATTTTATTACTTTTAGGATATAGGATCTTAATCATATTTGGAAAAGTGCATGGTGAAAGGACAACAAAAAATTATCCATATGCAAATATAAGGAATTCTAAGATCTATTCCTACATTCTTCAAAAATTATCCTTGAGATTTGTTAATGGTCATTATAAATTCCACTTTTATTGGAAACTGCCTTTGCTACAACTTGAATAAAATCTTTATAAATGATGAATATAATTTGTCAAAGACATGAATCACAATTAATAAAAAACCTCATTACAATCTTGTATCATTCAAAAAAGTAAATATTTACTTAAATTAATATAATATTAAAACTATAATCACTATTGCCAATGACAAAAAAAAAAAAAAAAAAAAAAAAATTAAAATAAGACTAAGAATAAAAAAAGAATTGACAAGAATAAAGAAGACTTCATTCTTACCTCCATGTAACTAAGAGCTCCATAGTAATGTTTTATATGACCTTTGATACATATCTAACTTGCAAAATATGTGTCTATCTTGTAAAACAAGTTTCTTATATGTACTCTATATGGTTGACTTGTACTACAAGTCACAAATATTTGCAATAGGTGGTCAACTTGTTGGTCAAGTTTCTAACCTATTAATCACCTACAAATATATATAAAGTCAAATCTACATCTATGAAGCTTTTAAGAAGCTTTTCTATAAGATATTATTAAATATATCTATATTTACCTTCTATCTAATACTTCTTATTCAAGTAACTATATATGTCTACAATATAATATAATCTTCAAAAGAAAAGCCAATTATCTTTTATAGTCTCTAAATAACAATCTTATCTTTGTAATTTATTTTATTCGTACTATCTTCTATAATTACTATATTTATACTAAAAAAATATGTAAAATTTATTGAAAAATATAATTTTTGAAACATTCATCAATTTCTTTAGTCATCCATATTGTCTCTTGTATATTTGATATTAGATAATTTTAATTTTTCCTAACATAAACTATGCCTTTAAGCATTGCAATCTTTAGTACATCCATCTACTTTCTTGTTCATCGATACTTCCTCATTTCTATACTCTCTAGTTTCTACATTCTCTTCTTCTTATATTCCATAGTTTTTTTTTCCATGTTTACTAATTTCCCTGTTTTTTAGTTTTTGTATTTTCTAGTTTATATTTTTTATAGTTCCCTAATTTCTATGTTCATATGTTCTTTAAGTATTTCCAAAGTTCTCTTCTTCACAACCAATTAAAAGATTTCTTTATTTCTTTGTGTTATTCCCAAGATAGTTTCAAACTTGAGTGTTTTAAGTCATTTTGTATATGTATATCATGGATGCTCATAAGCATCAAGGTATGATGTCATGGTGGAAAAGTAATAACTATTGCTCTAACTTGTGATACCCATCATGTCCACTATATCAACCTTAACAAAGTTTAGACACTAATGTAAAGTGACCTTCATTCAATTTTTTACTATTTGATATCTTTGATTGAAAGTGGTAGCTAATTGACTTGTGATCCATGACAAACATTGTAATCCCTACTTCCAGACATGTCAAGCTTATTATAGTTCTTTGACCATTTCTTTCATTTGATCATAAATTTATATAATAATATCCTTTATTTGTACAAATCAAATTATAAAAAATACTTAGAAACAAAAATATATAAAAAATTATATTAATATAATATATATTTTTAAATAGACAATTTAAGCCTACTAAAATACTCTAGATATAATCTTTTAACTTATATCAATAATAAAATGATCCTATCAAATTTTAACAATAAAATATGATATTTTAAATATAAATAGATATTTTTTTAAAAAAAAATAATCAATAAGATCCATTATATTAAAACATGAGATTACAATTGATTATCAATACTAATATAGTAATATTTTTGCAAACCACAAAATAATCAAGAAAAAAAAACTAATCAACAAGATTGAAGAGGCCCCAATATTACATCTATTTACAAAATATTTAAGAGTAAAACCTTATTTTCTAATTTTTAGTAAGTTATTGGACAATTATAAAAAAATAATTTAACCAAACTAATGTATTAGACTTATTGGTAGAATTTCAAAATTAAATCTTTCTAAAAACCATTAATTTGGTTTCTAAAAAAATACTATAAAAAAACAATCATACTTTATAAGATGTTAAAATACATTCAAGAGAATATAAAAAATATAATGTCTTATTATATGTATTCTTGCTTGAAAATACACCAATCATCTATCTATGGAAAGTAAGTAACAATGCAACAAAAATTCTACCAAGTCTAATAGAGCCTTAAATAAACTTTGAGTAATTCCTAATAATCCAATCAAACTTTAACCTATTGAAATAAATTTAAAAGAAGCCACAAAAGAAATACAAAAAACCTTTTTAAAATATTAAAAATAGAAATTCTAATCTAATCTTAATTAAATCTTAATCAAATCTTGGGTAAAATCTTAATTGAAATCCTAGTTGAACCTTAGCCAAATCCTAGGTCAAACTCTAATAGAATCTTAATAAAATCCTAAATTCTAAAAAAATCCTAGATAAGTTCTAAACCAAATTCTAGACCAAATCCTAAACCAAACCATAATCAAATTCTAGATCTTAAACAAACTCTTAATAAATCCTATAGCAAAATAGAACCTCAATAACTAATGATCAAACTATTAATATCAACTTAAAATTTGCACACTTCTTAATGTCTCAGTTAGAAACAAGCACAAGATAGATGAAATCAATTGCACTTACCAATTGAGAGAAATGCAAGATAATCCAATTGGGTGTTGGGCGGCCTCCTACTCCAACCACAATGCTGAACTTCTAATGCCAATATCTCCTTCTTAAACTATTAAATTACTCTCAAATTTTGTTGAAATGTTAGAAATCAAGTCTAATATCCATATAAAAAAAATTTACTTCAATCCAATTGACATATTGCTGAAAAACTTAGAAACACTCACTAACCTTCAAACTCCAATTTTTAATACCTTAATCCACAAAAATCTTCATATACTTCAATCTAACCGTTCGATTGGCTTCAAAATTTGCATACACATTTACAACTAATATACCAACACACCATCCAAATTTCACCCATACATACACCACAAAACTTAAGAAATCTTCAAATTTGTAAACATATTTTTATTTTTCAAATCTTAATCCCACCAAGAATATCACTAACTTTGAAAATCTCTCAAAATTTCAATATTGATTTAAGCAATATAAAACCAATGCCTAAAAATCTCTCTTCAAGTTTGCTCTCAAATTCCACTCTCCAATCTATAGAAGAACTCTAGAATCACCCTAGGTATGCAGTTTTGTGCCTCATGGTCTGATTTCAACCCAAATTGACAACCAATCCCTTTATGTATCAATTCTTGGCTTCTTAAGGTAAATTTTGCTAAAATCTACTCTTAACTCCCTCCTACACATGTTTATATCATTTGATTTTCCAATCTACTTTTTTTTGTTATATTTATGGCCCTACAAAAAAATAGAAGCCTATTTTGTAAAAAGGCAATATTAGGACCTTTTGATTTTGCTATCTTTTGACAATTATCTATATTTCTAAGATAATTTGCTATAATATTTTAAAATAAGATCTTCTATAATATAATGTTTTCTTCTTTCTTTCATTTATCAACCATGTTACATCACGACAATAAGAAGGGTTTGAATATTATTTTTTGTGACATATTTATGAAATAATATTATTTTTGTTGTTATTCATCTATATTTGTGAAATAGTATTATCATTCTATCATTACCATAGAGTAAATCTTCATTGTATTGAAGAATGTGTTTAATTTCAACTTGGATGTAAAAAAAGAATAATTAGAATCTCATGAGAAGAATTGAATCAGTATGTCTTATTGTGTACATGTTTACAGAAGGGAGAACATAGGGTATGTCACGTTCCAATTTTTACCTGGAAGCCCTCATCTTCTTCTACTCCAATAGTTAAGAGTTATATTCCAAACTAAACGAGACACTGAGTGAATGTAATGAGGAGCAAGGTAGAAAGCTGAATGAATTTGACTAACAGGACAGGACAGGACTGAGACGGACGAAGAAGGGGAAAAGGTTTTACTATGAACAGACCAAACTAATGGAGTGTGAGTGCATCTGGATCCAGGCTATTGAAACCCGCTTGGGCTGGGTGGGGTGGGGGGTTTTCCACTAGTTGCCACTCGGCTCCATTCTCTTAAGTCAGCCTCCAATTTTGCCGTCGCACCAGCAGTCGCCATTTCTAGAGCTCGATTGAGCTTGATTTCTACGGCCTCCTTGTATCACATTTCTGATTCCTTACGAGGCGCTTGGTTACGAAGTCTGTGCTGCGCGGGTTTGTAGTGGTATAATTAGGACCTCGGAGGGAAGATTTCTTATAAATTTTGGTGACTTGTAGGGTTTGGTTGGGTTGTAGGAAATTTAGGTTTGTGATTGACGTGTTATTGGTATTGTCGAGTTTGGAAGCATCATTGATTGATAGTATTCTTTTTTCTGAAAGATGTCGCCTAGACCTAATGGCCCCGACGAGGTTCGCAAGAAAGAATACAAGCGTGCTGTGGACGGCGATGAGGCGCGAAGGAAGCGTGAGGACAGCACATTGGAAATCCAGAAGTCTAGGAAGGATGAAAGCTTGTCCAGGAAGCGGAGGGATGGTATGCCTATGCAGAATTCTACCAAAGAGAAAAAGGTGAGGCGGGATTCTCTAGTTTTTTTTTTTTTTTTTTTTTTTTTTTTTTCCTGGAATGCATCGATGGTCTTGCAAGGACTTTAGGTTAGTGTAAGGCTCTATCTGAGTCTTAAGCCATGATTTTATATGATCATTCGCCGTAGTCCCGGAACCTTAGCCAATCCATCAAATTGAGATTCAACATGGACGTGCAGGTTTTGATTGAGACGGTCTCCTACAGACCTTCAGCCTAGTTCCACTCTCCTGCTTGCTCTCATTTTAGGGCACAATTAACCCTTCGTATAGGGTTTTGTGGGTTGTTTCTCTGGGTCAGTTATGCCAAACCTGGCACTGGAGTTTGTATTTATGTATTAGTTTCCTGTTGACGTGTCTTGGCAGCAGCTGTTCTATGCCATTGTCTGGGGTGTTCACTCTGACGACCTCGGGATTCAACTGGAGGCCACTGCGAAATTCTCACTGTCCGTAAACCTTGCCTTCGACAGGTAGGGCACAGGACAGGATTATAGAATACTTCATGAATTTAAGACGTGGGACGATAATTGAGTTGAATCTTTTGCATGTTCGCTCTCTAAACACCTTTCTGTACTTATTTTTGCAGGGCGGGTCTACCGATGTTTTACCTGTTACTTCTGCATCGCCCAGCGAGGCTACAGGCGCAGAGGGCGAATCAGGGAGTGCAGATATGCGAGTCCTGTCAACTTCTCATAAGAGGGATGAAAAAAGTGCTGGTGCTGATTCTGCAACTTTATCAGAAGCAAATCATGTGAAACCTCCAACCTTGAGTCTTGACGCCCTTGCTAAAGCCAAGAGAGCATTGCAAATGCAGAAGGAGCTCGCTGAGAAGATGAAGAAACTTCCTCAGGTAACTCGAAATGTTGCCTTGTCCATCACTGTGTCCTTGTTCGCACATATCTATGTGCAAGATCTCTATGGCAGCAGTTTTTTTATTTCTTTTTCCCTTGGGGCTCCCTCAGCATTTAGGTAATTACAGACTTAGTCTCCTTCATATTATTCAAGAACCCTCGAGCATTTGGTCAGGCTGTTGCTCATTGCTACTGCGACTTGGGTGGGTTCATGCTTAGGTGTCTGTTAATTTGACGATTCCGTTTTGATTTGTCCTTGAGATTCATGAAGTAGTCGGGTAGCCTCTTCAAGTGTGGATATGAAGATGCTATATTTTTTGCTCTTGCAGCTGAACAAGGCAGGATCTGCAACCATGACCACGTCCACTACTGCTCCCCTACTTTCGGCTGTAGCAAGCTTGGGAGGGATAACACCAGCACCAGGAGCGCAAACGGCACCGTCTCAGACCAACCAAGTAGTCATGCCTGTACCGGGAGTAGTTCCTCCAAATATGATAGGGATGATGCCTGGAATGATACCAGGGATGCCCGCTATTGGGACCCCAAATGTAGGGGCGTTGGCCAATTATGAGGCTATAAAAAGAGCTCATGAATTAGCAATGCGTTTGGGATTCCATCAAATCCCCTTTGGTATGCCTTTAATGCCCACAATGATGCCTACCAATTTCGCCGAGGATGGAGGTTCAAAATCCGTCAAGGCTCCTGTTCTTCGTCTGGATGCACAGGGCAGAGAGATTGACGAGCATGGTAATGTTGTAGAGCGTTCCAAGGTTACCAACGTCAGCACATTGAAGGTACAATGTTTCTCTCGCATCTTTTTAGCCATTGCAGTGGTTTTATTGGTCAATCTGACAACGTTGCTAGTCAAGCTTTTGGACAATCTGACTGCAAGTGGTGATGTCATAGATTTTAAAGCATTGGAGTTCTTAATTGAGGCTTGTTGGCCCTTGTCTGGATTCGTCCTGGATTTGAAAGTTCAATCATCCTTTGTTGGATTTGAGGGTTCCGATCGCTGCTGCTTTCAGATGCACTCTTTCTAGTTCAATGCTCCTAATGGCTCTCCGCTTCATATCTGGTAAGTCAGTGCCAATTTGCGCTTGTATTAATTCAGCAGTGTTTTGGTTTCTCAGGTTAATATCAACAAGCAAAAGAAAGAAGCATTTCAAATTTTACATCCGGAATTGGAGGAAGATCCTGTTGATAATCCCTTCTTTGATGAGCGTGTTGCATTGGACAAGAAGAAACTGGTTCGACCAAGAAGGCCCACTTTTCAGTTTGTGGAGGAAGGAAAATGGAGCAAACAAGCTGAGATGCAAAAGCTTCGTGTGAGCAATACTTACTGGCCTTGCTTTTGTTTGGCCTTCCAGTAGAGTTAGTCAATTTAAGTCTTTGTTCTGGTTCTCTCGTCAATGCGACGGGTTAGATACTCAACTGCATGAGATAGATGTTTACGTATTTGCTATACAGGCTCAATACGGTGAGGCAAAAGCTAAGGAGATGAAAGCAAAGCAAGCTGCTTTGTCCAAGGCGAAGGCAGAGGCTGATATCAATCCTAATCTCATTGAGGTTTCAGAGAGAGTTCCAGTTAAAGAAGAAAAGGTCAAGGATCCTATTCCTGAGATTGAGTGGTGGTGCGTATAAGATTCCAAACCTTGTTACATATATGCTCGTGCATACTTGGTTTTTTAGTATCCTTCTTTATTGTGTTAGTTTTTTGTGTTTATGTTTCAATAATTGACACTATTCACCCACTTGACTTCACTGCCCCGTATCCACATTTACTTTCTCTTTACGTTGCAGGGATAAAGTGTTTCTTCCATCACGCAATTACAAGGATATTGACGAGGGGATAGTGAAGGAGGAGAAGGTTACTTTGTTTGTTGAGCATCCTGTACCTATTGAGCCACCTGCTGAACCAGCCCCCCCTCCCCCTCAGCCTTTGAAACTTACCAAAAAAGAACAGAAGAAATTGCGAACTCAGCGTCGTCTTGCTAAGGAGAAAGACAGGCAGGAGATGATCAGGCAGGGTCTACTGGAGCCTCCAAAATCTAAGGTCAAAATGAGTAACTTGATGAAAGTTTTGGGCGCTGAGGCTACACAGGATCCAACACGAATGGAGCATGAAATCAGGAGTGCTGCTGCTGAACGTGAGCAAGCTCATACAGACAGGAATCTTGCTCGTAAGCTGACACCGGCAGAGCGGAAAGAGAAGAAAGCCAAAAAGCTCTTCGACGATGCGAATACCCTTGAAACACTTGTATCTGTTTATCGTGTATTGGACCTTTCCCACCCACCAACGCGCTACAAGGTGGACAAGAATGCCACTCAAAACCGTCTTACTGGCTGTATTGTTATCTCAGACACTATGTGTGTAGTTATCGTGGAAGGTGGTCCTAAGTCCATCAAGCGTTATAACAAACTTATGACACGAAGAATAAATTGGGAAACAGCCGTAAAGGAAGAAGATGAAGAAGATGCAGAAGATGCACCTCGTCCAACAAATAAATGTGAGTTGGTTTGGCAGGGGAGTGTCGCTCGTCCCAATTTCGACAGATTCAACGTAGAGCAGTTCCGATCAGCTGCAGCTGCCCGGAAATATCTCTCAGATGCCAACGTTGGACATTACTGGGACTTGGCAGTGAATTATAAAGCCGAAGAGTGACATCGTACCACACCATATTTACCTGAGGCTGATAGCACGGTCAAATATGTTACTAGGGCTCAAAACGAAACTATTAAAAGAGGATTCATCAAAAGATTCTCAATTATGCAATATTTGGGACATTTCGAGCTTATTTTATGCAACGAACTTTGGTGGCATTTGCATGAAGAGAATGGTGTTTGGTTGGAAGAATGCCTGATATATGGGAAGTAACAAGAGAGAGAGCATGTTTCTCTGTTTACATATATTCAGTTTTATCTGGTGAGCAATCTATGATCCTGTGGTGTTTTGTGGTAAATCTAGTCGTGGTTTTTTTAGAGTAATACTTGTCTAGCTTTTTTTTTCTATCCAGAGGGTATGTGAGTTCCATTTGTATCCCTGCTTAGGGTTGCCATGTGGAGGTAGAACAAGGGGCTGGGCAAAGCCTGTTGTTCGAGCATTTTCACTATATATACTGATGAAGCCATCGTGCTGCGTTATGCGGCCCAGCTGATGATGACGGCAATGTGCATGGATTCCGGGTATGGCCCCCTCCTATGTACCTCTGGGGAGAACCACTTCAAGCACTACATTTGCATATCAGGGGTGTCATACAGCCAGGCAAATCATATGTAAGCAAAATATCCCATTAGGGAAAGACATTATGATGCAAGCCATGTCTATTTTGAAATGAGTCCGGCCCAAACTGACCATATTTTATCAGGGTCTTTAAATGAATAGAATGTACTGTCCTTCACGAAGATTTTGGTTCATTTTGAAATTGCCAAGGTTTTAAGACTTGTTACTTTCATTGTGATTTATGTCGTTTATACCAAGCCTGTTTGAGTGTCTGTCTAGCTTCACGAGCTAAGCCAGAAGCGGGTGGTTGAATCCGTCTCTGAGCCTGGTTTTGTTCTCTTTTTTTTAATACAGTCCTGAGTGATTATGTATCCCATTACTTTTTATGCACTATTTCTGAAAAAGAGGAAGAATAGTAAATTAAAACTCAGTTGAACTGCCACACCGAAGATGTTTTCAGGATTTTCTCGCTGAACAAATTGTGGCTAAATTAGGTTTAGATTTCTTGTCATTAATTGGGTGTTTGTTGACGTTCTGAGGTCTTTCAAGGGTTGTGTGGAGCTTTGATTGTTGGTGTGTTTCGACTGTCAATAACAATTTACTATGTGCCGTCAGTTGAAAGAATGACTGTATGTGAATCAGACCGGACTTATGAGTAGCTATGATTTGATAAGAGTTGGACGTGTCCGTATTTTAAGAGTGATCACTGTTTGTGTGCTTTGTATCATGTCCTTGACGAATCAACATGATAGTCCCAGTAATATTTTATCTTATGCTCTAGGATATTGTAAGCCTTGAAATTATTATAGCGGATCTGGATCTCCAGCTTGAGTATGCGTTTACAGAAATGGACTTGAGCGTTCTTGGGGTTGGTTACCTGGATTTGATTCGTAAGCAGGCCTTGCCGTCGTAATCCCAGCTGGCTTCACCTCTACAACTATCTGCAAATTGGTGTGTTGCTGGCACTCTTTGAAGAAGTTTGTCGCCTTGGTACGAGTTCTTAACTACAATCTGATGCAGTTCACATAATTAAAATTCAGAGAAGGATCGGAATCCATTACTACTCTGGATCATACACACGTTTGCTGCAGTCTTCTGGTAGGTAGTCCTCTAGATGTTGTTCAAAATGCCACTCTTCTTAAACTTGTTGTCCAGGGTCGATTATAAATTCATTTTGATCTATGCATGTGAATCGATCAAATTTGGTTGTATGCTTAAGTATTCTCAAATACGAGGCATCTGTGGAGTGTGTAATGTAAAGGATCTAGTAGGATTTGCTCTTTAAATCTCTCAATGGTATATATTGGGCTTTTGTGTGTGCCCTCCTATTGCATCAGATCTCGCTTAACTCTTCTGTGATTTATATCACTGAGGTATGTATTCTCAAACTATTTTTTTGATTCAGGTGTTCATATTCTGCTTCATGTCGTCCGCTAAATTTTTTAATTTTGGTGTCCCAATGCGGGGTGTGCTTGCTTTGTTCAAAATTCCCATGTCTTTGTGTACAAGTGAATTGTTTTTGGTGGTATTTACTCTTCTGATGTAGCTCTAGGTATGAGTTTTTTACAAGGTCTTCTTTAGAGTGAATTGTAGTTAATTATCTTCATAATTTTGAGTGGACCTCCAAATCAGCCACTCGATTACCGAAACATCGCTACATTGTCGATGCACGGAAAGTGGCGTTTCGTCTGCTGTATTGTTCGATATTTGCTTATTCTTGTTATAAATTGTGGTTACTGACAAGATCTCAGCTGGAATGCTTGTTATATATTCAAACCTGCATGTGCGAAGTATTTTGGAATCGTATTTTTGGAAGTACTACGGTGTTTCTGCAAGTAATCGAGTGAGAACTTAGGCTTTTGATCCTGCAATTCAGTTGTGAACAGATTCACTTCAGGTGATCTCCAAGGATATGGTTTGCTACCCTGTGTGGTGGACTGGAGCTTTTGCTTCTGTATTATGTGTGCCTCTGCAATTTCAGTCTCAACTTTGGAGTCCACTTCCAACTTTTATGTTAACTAACCTGGGGGTCGCTGACATTACTATCTTGTAGAACTTTTAGCTCTTGTTAGTGAGGCGGTTCACTTAGTTTGTAGAGTAATCCCGTGTGTTTTATCTGCCTCACATGTCACTGCAATCCGCTATTTTCACCAACTGTATTCCTCACCACCCCCTAGAAGCTCTAGGATGTCGAATGGTCAGCACTGTTTGCAAGCTCTGCGTGAAGAAGCCTAGTGTCATTGACACGCAAAGAACCGCAAAATGAATCGTCCAAAACATTGGGTGACACAAGCAGAAGAATTTAAACCAATAACACAAGTATTCGTATTCGTCAAGCGTGAACACTTCATATATAACCTTTTTATTTATTTATTTATTTATTTACTTATCTTCCCTGCCGCCTCAATCGTTGTTAGCGGGCGGCAGGGTGCGGGTGTTGTACAAGTGTGTTATAGAGTGGAAGCCCACAGGGAGAAGCGTGAATTAGGGGGATCAAAAATCAGTGATTGGTGTTTGGAACGGAGAGGGGTAAGGAGGCGGGAATGAAGTTCAACCGTTGTAGCAGCGATTATGGCGGTTAGAGGGAACGTACCCATTTTCGGGACCCTTGTTGTAGCTTTTGGAATCGTCAGTCCTGTGTGCTTCCAGACGATCAAGGGGATTAAGCCCTAATCCATGGTGGCCAAGAACTAAATGATCATCATGAGGCAAGTCTGCGAGATTCTTTTTTTTCCAAGTGGCAAAGCTCTTGCCCATAATTAAACGAAATGAGTGATTTCTTGAGCACTGATGTCCAGGGGGGTATGATCGATACACATCTTTCCAGAGTACTGCGCACTTACTGGGACACTACAATGTATTGAGGCTTTGGAGCTGTAGAGCTTTTGACCTTTGGAACATGGTAGATTCTGTTCGACTTCGTCATCGCACGAACACAGCATTCCTGGATTCTGTTCTGCACGCATGAAACCTTTCTTGACTGTGTTCATCACATACTCCTTAAAGATAACAGTCATCGTAAAGCATGGACTCATAAGTATCTTGACGCCTGTATTTCTCGACATGAGTAGAACAAAAGTTACTGAAGAGATGTTCTTTGATCCTTCTTTCCAGTTCGTTAAATTAGCTTTCTGGTTCCCTTCATTCTTGGAGCTGATGGACGCAACTAAAAAGACTTAACAGCAAGCGAGATAAAAAAGAGAGATAGTGAAATTTCAAATTGAAAGATCTGAAGCTCAAGAAGTAGCAATTGTTCACTTCATGCAGGCACGAAACAGAGAAGTGTGAAATCGGGAAGGACAGTGAGGTTAGAGCTTTGCAACGGATGCTTGAAGCAAAACACATTCAGTTCACGAGAAATGAAAGCCACAATTGAACGGTTCAAATTTGATAGCAAGTAAGTCGACGCGAAGCTGGTAGTAAAATAGACAGGAAGGGACAAGTCGTTGCAAGAAGACCATGATTCATTCTTCAAAACCAGGTATATAGGTGAGAAACCTCCTGTTGATTCCGAATCGCTAAATTTGCTAAGAGAAGACACATGATGCCAATATCGTTGTTGAGAGTTATGTATATGGCAGGAGAAATCTGGCTATGATCATTCACAGAAACGTAGCAGCGGGATTACACTTGCCAATGGGCCGATTCAAATTGTTGCTCTCAACTCCGAATGGATTTGAACTGAGGTATGAAGCCTTTAAACAGGTATGAGGCACCACATATTTGTTGCGCATAGCGTATGCTTTACATATTCTAGCATAGTAGTCGACGTCAGACACTTGCTCCTTGTTAACGAAGATTGTAAATGTTGAGCCTACATCTTCTCCATTGCACAGTGAATCTGATGGCAACATTTCTGTAAAACTTCAGTGGCCCAACAGCGTATATGTAACAAGAATGCGATGGGTGAGGCAGAGATCGAAGTGGCCAAGGCCAACGTTGACTCAGAGGTCAGCAGAAGAAGTACGACTTACCTTTGGAGGAATACCCTTGTAGCTACTGACGTGGCTGGCGTGGATGATGACGATAACGAGGTGGAAGATGAAATGAAACTGGCTGCTTCAAAAGCAGAAGTTGGTATCAACAACACTCTTGCACAATTTCTTCTTCCTCTTCGTGGAGTGCGACTTCAGTACTGTAGGGTACAAAGTTAGTCATCATTTTTATAGAAAGACGTATCGGCTTTCACCAGTGGAAAATTTCCGTTGACCAAAGCTAGCATGCCTTGTGTGAATCTCAAACAGGGTCAGGAAATGGCAGAGTAAATGATTTGTTCATGATATTGTTAACATGCTCAGCATATTCAACACAACCCATGGTAGGTAATATGACGGCTTGTATGATAGCTTAACCAGATATTCAAGGGTCGTTAACCCTTCGTCCTACTCCCACAGCAGCTGTTCTAAAAATCACAAAAACTGAAAAGCCTGCCTGGACATTCCCTCTTGAATTTGTTCCTAAATCTAATAACATATCCGATATTGAGCCAGTTTTAACGTTGAAGTTCTCAATGATAGAGACCTTCTGCTCCATTCCAATGTTACAAGTAGAAACATCTCAATTTGAAGGCTAAAATTGCACTTAGATATGAGCATGGCGACCAGCACCACTTTTCTCCTGCCCTCCTCTTTGTACAAGGTCCGACTATGATGCGCGTGAAAAGATTGATGGGACACCACTGCAACGCCGAAGCCCACGCGCAAGGGATGCCAACAATAATGCCTACAGAATCGGAAACTTCCAGACATCCTTCGGTACCCATTCCTTCCTCTTCATCTAGATTCGGCGTTACAAGCAAATCTAAACGCTTGCTCAATTAAGGGATTCATAGCTTTCTTGAATGCTGAATCAAACTCAGATTCAGAAAAGAGGGCTGCACGAACTCTAGCTGCTTGCGCTATCTCCATTCTCTCATTAGCTGGCAGTGTAACCACATGGCACATAGCATCTGCAAACTCAGAGACGCTACTGGCAAGAAACCCTGTCCGGTGTCCACCTTCATTGACCACAATATCCAGTTTTGGGCCTGCCGAATTGTGCGCTGAGGAAAACACTATCAACGTCAGAACGGTTACCCCATCACATTAAGCAGTATAAGTCCGCACATAGCGTTAAGAAAATATGCCGAGAAATTTGCAACTATACAGGTCCTACGATGCAGAGAATCGTCACAAGAGTTGGTATGTATGTACTGTCCTTACCAATGGGAACGGCTCCCGCAGCCATATACTCCACCACAACGATGCCAAAGTGTTCATCAGTCATGGTGTGCAGACCTGCTATTGCACCCCCGAGCAACTTCACCAGTTCGCTGAATTCCAACCAATAATGCATCATTCATCCCATTTGTGAGCTGTAGAATGACAAAATATATATCCTACCATGTATATCTGGCTGAAAAAAAAACCAATGATAAAAAAATTGCAGATTTAATGGATTGAAAATATATTCTATGTAGTGAGCCGTGTCAAAACCGATCTCTCTAAACTGCGTTGCATATTATTTCCTGAGCAAGTCGTTGATATGACGAAATTAACTAGGAAACCAGAAGACAAGTACCCCGTTTGCTTCATAAAACTTACGAGTAGTGCACATTGAGGCAAAAATCAACGTTCTGCTCCAAGCCTAGATCTTGACATCTCTGTTTCAAGGAATCCACCCTATTTTCATCTTCCTGATTTCGACAGCTTCCAACCAGCTTCAAACGCGCCTCCATATTCTGAAGAGAAAGCTGTTCGAGTGCCAACGCAAATGCTTCCAGCTGTAAGTCATGTGCCTGCACGATGTTTACCGTATACCGCATCAACAGCCGCGAGGTTGCTCCAGAAAAATTGTAACAATCAAATTCGAGGTAGGAGCAGGCTTGTAACTTTATTGTGTTTCAGGTTTCACATCGTGCGAATACTTTCAAGCTTATACTGCTAAAACACCTCATAGTTGAAAAAAACATGAGAAATACACCATGAGACATACTGCCCACCTTTTCTGGACGGAATTGAGCGACAGATATGATATATTGCTTCTGTGGTAATCGCTCCAGAGGAAGTGCCTGCTAACCCAAAGAGTACCAACAGTCAACAGTATGCAAGCCAATGCGCACATTGCTCTCGATCACCTACACCATTTCGTTGAAGTACTTGTGGTTTTGCATTGGCAGAAACCACACTAGTCAGATATCCAGCTTTCAAAATACCTCTCGAACTCCGAAGATATATTGTGATGGTAACCAAAACAAACAATCTGTAATTTCGCGTGGATGACTTACGGTTCAAAGATAGAAGCTAGCCAACACACTGCCGAGCCAAAGCAATGGAGCAAGAACAATTGCCATGAAGAAAACTGAAATAGAAGGCTGACGAGGTACCTGGAGTGTAAGAGTATCACACGGTGGGTATACCAAGACAGTACGATTAGGTATTCTCCAGATTGCATTGATATGAGCTCGAGTCCACGATGAATTTACCATTGCTAAGTGTGCACATCGACCTGCCAGTCCGTAAAGCTGCGCCAATGCTCTATAGTACCACACCTTCGCCATAGATAACAAAAAGCTGCAGATTCAAGCATAGGATGAATCACATTTTTGAAGCAATTTTCGACAAATGTGCACCATATTAATTCAGAACTTTGCATACCCTAACCCCAAATTCTAACCCATGCCAAATGAAGCAGATGAGAGACGTAAGCAGGTATATCATAGTGAACTAACCTGCGTGAAATCCGGATATCATTGTTGTAAAGAGCTGTCCGATCACGAACTCGATTTAGCATATCCGTGCTGATAGTCGGATAGTGTGTATAACATACTACTAGAGATCCCGCAGCTCGTGCAAATACGTAAGTAAAAGCATAGCCGCTTGTATCCAAAAATATTAATGGAGTTACTTTGCTCAATGCTTCCCATGCCAGTACCATAGAGCCCAAGCTTTGACCTATGATAGTGAAACGAGGATATGTCTTAGATTCCACCCACTTCCTCTTGTCCAATTTCACCACCTATGATAACACTCCGTCAGTTCGTCTGTGTCAAGCAGAAAATCTTTCTTATGGCTATCGAGAGAGATGTGCACATACATGTGAGACATACAGCATCAAATATGTAAGCAACAGAAATTTTAATTCAAAATACTTGCTAGTCACATGAAAATTCATTGCAACAGCAGCAAAAAGAGTCTGAGATGCCACAGAATTTCGTGGCTCTTCTGTCATCCAAATTTTAAATCATAGGTTGTCTGAACAATTATTAGACTCTCGCCATTCTCATCGAGGAATGAAAAAACAGGAAATCCATCTGAAGTTCGCTATAGAATATCCCCCAAATATATATACGCACATACACACACACACACACAAACACGCACACACGCACATGTAAAAGACGAAGAAGAATAAGATATTCCGTAGCCGAAAATGTCCACACAATAAACCAGAAAACCCTATCAAAACCCTGAGGAACTAAAGATAGAGAAAATTAAAATAACATAGTAGTACCAGAGGAGCCTTAACGAGTCTGACGCCGAAGCGATCCAGGGCGCGCGCAGCCAGTGACTCAGGCGTGGCCGAATCGCCTGTATACACAACAATGTCCAGAGCCGGCGCCATCTCCTGGACTGCTCTGGCGGCACACCACAACACGCGCTCTCCTCCGCCTCCATCATTCGTGTAAGGGTGGAAAAACGCTACCACGGGCTTGACGCTCCTCCTGGCACGCAACACAGTCTTCAAGAAAACCACAGCACAGAGCAAGGCCGCTCCGAAAAGTGCTGACGGCAGCAAGCGAAGAAGCTGCATTTCGGATCCCAAACCTCCCAAACTCTCTTCGACTTTGTCTTCGTCGACTTTGAACTTCTTCCGAGTTCACAACGACAGCCTGGCCACTCTTAGGTTGCCCCTCGATGGCTATTTTTTCCAAGTCCTGTTGCATTTTACTAAAAGGCGCGACCACAAGAAAAGGAAATTTTGCATCAAATCCGATGCCCCATGCAAGTATGTACTGTAGATCGGAAACCTACTTTCGATCAAATTTATATCGAACTTATATTTCATTCCGGTGCTACAAATTCCACTGTAAATAGCTACGTTTCCAGCTAAACTTCTGCTCATTGATTCGCATTAAAGTATTACCCTACATGGCGATAAACAAAATTCATTTTATCAGTCTTATTGATAAGAAAGTGAAGCGTAAAAAGTAGAAGTGAAAAAAATGATGTGACCAGGTTTAGGGCTATCTTGAGACCTTACAGTACAATAAGGGGAATCCATCATCAGCTCAAATGTCATGTTATCATGAGTCAGAACCCCTAACAAAAACCTAAAATTGCACAAAACACCAAAAAATATGCAAATGCATATGCTGCTCAAAAGTAAGCTATGCACGTTATCTAAAAATAAATGGATACAGTTAAGTGTCGACCATTCAATAATCATAAAAGCATGAATAATATGGAATTCAATGGTAAAGAAAGAAAAACAGAAGCAAAAGCTCGAGTCTTATAAAGTTCAAATTCTACAATCAGGGAGGTAAAAGAATCATGGATTCCTGGGAGGAAAATGAAGTAACAACTACTTCAGCACAGAAATAAAACACAATTACCAATTTTGGGGATTGCAAATGAGTCTAAGGGAAATGTCCAAAAACATTTGACTTTAAAATTAGAAAGTTTCAAGGATAGACATGAAAATGAAAAGTCTAAATAACACAAAGAAAAATAAAAATCATGATTTTGTTATTTTTATAAGATTAGCTTAGAATTTAAATCTTATTCATACTATAAGATTAAAATATTTGGTTTAGGATATACATGTGTTTATATTGCTTAATTGCAATTCTATTTAATTATTTCAAATTTAATTGTAATCTATCTAAATCCTAAAATCTACTTCATGGTAATAAATTAGTTAATTTTACATTTGATTCTATTCATACTTTTTAAATAAAATAATTATTTCAAAGAATAATATTTTTTCATTGGAATATTATTATAAATAATTCAAATTTTGACCTTGTGTACAATATACAATAAAATAAATTAATTAAAGTAGATCCTTATTTACATAATGATAATAAATAATAAGTTCAAAATATGGTTTTTAATTTTTTTTTTGTTTTATTTTTATTTTAACATTGAATTAGACATTTGTTAAATTAAAAATTTAAGTCATATTTAATTTTGATTACTTTATTGTAATTTTATTTCTAATTTTTGAACATAGGTTTTTATTCAAACCTAAGATTTAATTATAATTTTAATATTTAAGATAAGAATAGTTATTATTTAATTTTTAATAGTATATATACATTTAGAATTTGATTTAAGTATGTATATATATATATATATATATATATATTGGTCTTTTGGTTTTAGATTTTTTTAGCTAAAGGTCTATTCTTAATTGCACATTTTTATTTATTATTTATCATCTATTTATTATAATCTTTTATCAATTTTAGATTGATTTTAATTTAAAAAAAAATTATTTTTTGTTTTTTTATTATATAACTAATTTTCTTATTTGGTTTCTATAGTATAGATGGTTCATACAAACCTATTTATATATACCTAATATACTTAGAGACAAGACTTACATTTATTTAATTCAATGGCTTTTTTATATTCTAATCTTTATTTAAGATAATGCTTGAACTATGATTCCTTCCTTTCATTAAATTATCTTAAGCTTGTTGATGATAATTCCTTTGCAAGAAACTCAAGGGAATTACTTTTTTAAGTTGCTTATATACATTTGAGGGGTGATTGCCTCAACAATTCCTATAAATAATTCTATTTTCTATCCAATAACTACTAGGTTGGTATCTTTTGCTACAAACGTAATGTACTTCCTGTCTTTGTCTTGGTTAACTTTTTAAACCTTAATTAAGATAATCATGGTTTTGTAGATGATAATTAGACCTTACATTGACTTGGTTCCTATCAGAGGGGACATAAGATTGTTGTCTTCTAAAATTTTATTAGTAACCTTAAGGTGTTGAACAAAATTGAGTAATATGCCTCAATTGACCACATTGAATACACTACAGTCTTGTGGTGTGCCTATCTAATTCTATGGAAGGTGGAGCTTGATTAAAATTCTAATTCTAAATTAATAATATCATATGTTTTTGCATTGACTATATTTATTGTATAAGTTCATTTTGGAATTTCTTTTGACTTTAAAAGACTTTGTTTTTGAATTCTTCCTTCTACCTATTTCTATCTTATGGATATGTGTGTTTTGAAAATTTAGGTAGTCATTTAACCTCTAAAGTTGAATAATCATGGTTCATTGAATAAAAACTATTATCAATCAATCTATGACCATTTCTTTGAGAGCTTTTAGGTTATAAGAGTGTGCTTGGGATTTTTGACCTCTTTATTTTTGGAATTTAAGTTTAGAATTTTAGATTTAGGATTTAGAATTTAGGATTTAGAGTTTAGGGTTCAAGGTTACAAGGGCATTTCCAATTTTTGAGCATCAATATTTTAAGATTTTGACTTGACCTACCTCCTCCCTTCCATTTATGGTTTCTAAGATTTCAATGGAATAACTATTTTCCTATACATATTCATAATTTGGAAGCTATAGCTACTTTGACTTGGACTTTAAGGTTTTGACTTTTGTCATATGAAGGTTTTTTAAATTTTTAAAATGTCCATTGGATTCATTTATAGGTCACCAATTCTAAATATGTACTTGAAGTTTTCAAAAAGTGCATACATTTGTAGATATTGATTGTTTGACCATTTTGACTTTTGAATTGATTTTATATATAAATAAGAATTTTGAAGTTTTGATTTGACCTATCCTCTTATTTTAAGTAACTAAGAATCTAGTGATGGACTTGAAATCCTATAGATGTTTTTTCGTTTTGAAATATAAGGCATTTGACTTGATACAATTTTCTATTGATATTTTTTGTACTTTATTTTTTTATATTTTGATTTGATCTACCTCCCTATTTGTGATGCTTTTGATTCTAATGCGTTGTTTGAAATCTTAAACAAGTTTATAGCTTGGGAGATATGAAGTTTTTAAAATCACCAAATTTATATTTGATTAATATATGGAATTAATATATATATATATATATATATACATACATAGAGGCTTTTGGATACTATAATAATATACTAAATAGAATATATAGGTATATATCTTTTTTTGTTTCAAAATATTATATTTATATAATTTTTTTAAAATACTAGGATTTAGATTTTAGAGTTTAGATTTTAGAGTTTTAGGGTTTAGGATTTAGAGTTACATGTGTATTCTCAAAAAAATGGCATAATTTTTTTGGAATTTTGAGTTGAACAATCTCCCTATTTTTAAGGGTTGTAGTTTCAATGATACAATTATCTTTACTTATGCTTCTTTTATTTAGTAGATATAGATACTTTGACTTTTAGATGTAGAATTGATATTTTTATTAGTAAGGAATTTCAATATTTTGAGAAGACCTACCTCTTTCTTTTGGAATGTTATAAATCTAATGATGTATTTAATTTTTTCAAAGAATGAATAATTTGGATGATGTAGAGGTTTTAAAAATGAATTTTAGGACTGATAAATTCTTATATTTTTATAATTTTGAATTGACTTATCTTTCTATTATCAAGAATTGTGATTCCAATGGAATAAAAATATTTACTTATGCTATTTCGATTTAGAAGATATGAAGGATTTGACTTTTTAGGATTTAGAGTTAATTTTGGAATCATAGGGTTTAGGATTTAGAATTTTAGGATTTAAGGTTTAAGGTTACAAGAAAATCCTATTGATTTTTGATCTTCAATTTGTTAGGATTTTATTCTATTTTTTTCTAACTTGAGACTTTGCCATAACATATATGCTTATAAAGACCTATACAAATGCTTCAAATTCTCAAAATTTTATGTTAAATTTTTTGGAATTTAGGATTTAAAAATCCTAATCAAGGTTTATGGATTTATAATTTGTAAGCATTTAAGATGCACTAGAGTTTATAGAGGTGTTATATATGACATATCCATGATGTAAAGAATACTAAAGTAAATAATAAAAAGAAAAAAAAAGAAAAGATAAGGCAAAGAGGCAAAAAAATATAAATGATAAGGATTAATAAAGAAGATCAAAGAAGAAAAATCCGAAATTGTACAGAAAAAAAAAAGGATGTTATAGATCTAGTAAGATGAGTATAAAAGAGTTGCTTAGAGAGCTCTTATTACTTCCCATTGTGATTTAGGATATTATTACTTCCCATTGTGGATGACATGTTGCTTGTTCTCTTCTATGACTTACATGTAATATATCTTTTTGCACTTGGTACCAATCTTTGTAGCCACAATTGCTTTAAACTGCACTTGGCATATAAAGAATGCCATGCCAATCAAATAGAACTGCTACTGCAAGAAAATAGGTTCTATGACAAAAGTACTACAAATCCTAAAATAGAGCCATAGAGAGGACAAGTACAATACTCATACTTTGAGTGTGTGATTTCAAAAAAAAAAAGAATAATAGGCATAGTATTCATACTCTGAGTGTGTAATTTTGAGAAATAAAGAACAACAAGCATCCACAAAATCCCAATTGCTAGCCTATTTATTTGCCTCCATCTATCTTCTTCTCTCTTTCTATACAAATCATTCACTCAACTTCAAAAATCTTTACACTTTGCTTACTAGATTTTCAAAGTCATCATAGATGTTGCTTTGGATTGATGAGAGCATCCATTTCCATCAATATAATAGGAAATGGTAACATTAAAGATGTATAAGAAAGAAGGTATAAATGAAAATTCTACTGAGATGGAAAAAATAAGATATAAGAAGAGAGAAGGGGGGGCATGCAAGAGGGAGATGGCAATTACGATTAATTATAGTTTGACACCAGAGTGAGAGAGAGAGAGAGAGAGAGAGAGAGAGAGAGATTGTGTATTGGAATAGTTTATAGTTTGGATTT